CTCATTCAGTTCCCGACACTCTTTGTTTGTGGCTGGGGCTGGACCAGTTTGACTGACTGCGACTGGCGAGACTTAAACGGCGCATGAGCTCGGGCACAGTGTGCCATGTTTACCGCACTTGACGTGCGTGGAGTGCAGCGGGGTAGCTGCAAACACAGCGAGTGCGAGTGCCCTGAATTCCTGCGGGAGACGGATCTGAATGCCAGCCAAGGAAAGGGCTTCCCATTTGGCTGGTGCCTTTACTGCGGCCATTCGCCAGCTATTCAAGGAAGACTGCAATATTTGTGTAAGAACCCTGTTTTCGTTTGTCCCCCATTACTCTCTTGATCCGCTGTTTTTTTCTTGTTTTGTTGCGACAGCGCAAGTATCAAGTTGCACAATCTCCACCGTATTGCTTTTCTCGAAGCGATGTGCTCTTCAGCATAACTGTCACATCTAGGAGACAATTTTTGCTGCTTGTGATTGAGCGCGGCATTGAGACAAATGTTGTTCATTCGGAAAGGTAAAGCGGTGAACCGTGGATGCTGGGGTGTAGTTGAGGTAGTCGGGCGAGTTTGCTCTTGGCTGTAGACACTGCAGTACATAGGTGAGCTTGTTATTCCAAGTGTTGCATTGCTCTCGCAAAAACTTCGAAAGCATATTTTGCCTGAAGGCCCGCCTCTGCGTCGGTCTCCCGTGTTAAACGTTTACGGTTTGGAATCGACGAACACCCAGAATATGGGTGAAGGAGAGAATGGGTACGTGACAATGTGGCAAGTGAACAAGGGTGGCAACAGGAAAGAAGGGAAAGGGTACACAACGTTGCATTGTAGGAGGAAAAGGGTCGCAGCGGTGAAGGAGACGCAAAGAATCGAAGTAACATCAGAGGCAGCCGCGTGAATCTTTGCATGTTCCGGTGCTTGCATGCATGTTTCATTTTGGTTTTGATCGGTCTCAACGCAATCGTTTCTTTGAGATAAAGCTATGCAGAAATATCGAGTTAGCTTGAGCGGCGTCGCCGTCGGCGTAACCGTAACGCGTCGGCGTAACGCTTTTTCGTGACGCTCGCAAAAAAAGCACTGATTTCAGCGGCGAGTAGAGCACTTTCACAATAACGTAAATACTTCAAGCACGCTCAAAGCGCACTTTATGTCACACAGCTTCACGAACTAAGAACAGCCTGTTATGAGAGCTTCAGTTAGTGCAACGTGGACAATGTTAAAGTTCAAGTGTGTATACTCATTTTTGTAATACTAAGTTTATTTAGGCCATAATATCTTAATCTTATTGTTAGCAGGTTGCACCGACGGATATTCTTGTACCCTGCATTGTGTGGGGCGAAACGAGACGGCTAATCTGCGGCAACGAACCACGAAACGAAATCGACCTGCAACCAGACACGTCTCTCGAGAAAGCGCTGGTGCTATGCCTCTGTGTTTACTACTTAAAGAACGTAACATACCCAGCAGCATTTGGGCAGCTGCTTGGTTTTGTACAGAGTGTAGTGAAACCAGCAAACAGTTCTGAGGTAGCGTGGGCCCAGAAAGGATTGCGTGATCTACTCTCAAAATTGCACTTTCTCGCACAAGTTTTTTTTTTTTTTTTTTCATACTCGTTATGAGGAATGGTTGGAGGGGAGTTATGTACATCAAAATATAATAGCTCTAGTCAATTGAACGGAAGTGCCCTCAATAATGAAAAATCTAAGGTATCTAGAAAAAAATGGCAATGCCACGTCGTCGAATGCGCCAAAACTAAATCTAGTCATTAAATAAACGCCAATTCAATTTTTGTTAGCAAGTGTTGACTTTCCTAACGAACTTAACACTTTGCTCATTTGAAATCATTTGATATTTATGCCCGTTTGACCTTTGTTAGCAAAGTGTTGACGTTGTCTAAACTGTTTGTGTCTCGTTATGAACCAATCTTAGAAGGAAAGACCTCCTTCATATTCTGTGGTTAATTTCTTTTACAAAATCACAGACTTGCCACCAAGCACAATTTTTCTAATATACCAATTATTGTAGAAAATGAACCGTAATGAAGTATGACACGACACAATTATCACCGCGTAGCTGCAAACCATATGGTAACGAATTGTATATTAATATTGTTACTAACATTTACTGAAAAAATATATCCTGATTCAAACCCGCTAAAAAGTCAAAATAATGACATTCGTTGATAGTTGGTTCATAATACTCATAGTAGTTGCAGTTCTTAGCAGTTGGTGAACTTTATACTTTTTAACGGCTTATTTGTACAAACAAAAATAGATTTTCTAATAAAGAGTTTATCCCCGAAGCTGAAATTTGTTTGCCTCTTTCTATTTAGTTCCTTTTGGACTGTTCCTTCTTGTAACTGGAGCCTAACGAGATCTCTCTCTGTCTCTTTGGGTTTTTAGACGTCAAAGATAAATTTCCTAAAATCTTTATACAAGTTGCACAGCTGTGAACAGCTTGCAACTACCTAGCGCAATGTACCAGGCGTAACATGATTCACAACTGCCATTCGTATATGTGCGTAGTTATACATAAAAGCAGCACGTCAATCTTTCTTGCACTACTCAATTCGCCTAAAGGAGCACTTAGAGAGATTTAGTAGATCGTTTTTGAGCCCTTATAACGATATCCGATAACAATATGGTGCATGGGGGCCCGTGTGTTCATACGCTTATTACGGCGCACGTTTTCTCCACTCTTAAATAATGACGCCTTCTAGGCGCGTGGGATGTGCGTCGTGGTTGAAACCTCTGGCCATTGACATTGGGCTTTCTCGCATTTAGTATATCGTCCCAATAATCTTAGTTATTGGGACGATATACTAAATGCGGGAAAGCCCAATCCCCACGGCCAGAGGTCTCCACCGCGACGCGCATTTCACACACGCCTAGGAGGCGCCATTATCTAAGCGTGGAGAAAACGCACGCAGTAATAAGCGTGTAAGCACAAGTGCCCCCTCACGCCTGCCAAGCGTTAAACCATAGCACAGTTCACGCTTAGGAAGCGTGAATTCGAAGCGTTGAAAAACAGCACGCTTAGAGCAAGCGTGTAAAAAATCGCTTTGCATCACGCCTGCAAGCGTTAAACCTGTGCGCAGTTCAGGCTTAGGGAGCGTGAACTCTAAGCGTTGAAAAACACCACGCTTAGAACAAGCGTGCAAAAAATCGCTTTGCGTCACGCTTGCTCTGCGTGACCATTTTTAGAGTGTAGTCATGATATGTGCGAACCACGTGACGTGCGTAAGCAATGGACCTGCAGTTGGACAGAGAAACAAGGCAACAAATTTCGAGTTTATCCTATTATGCAACTCGATATCGAAGCAGCAGGCTACGATTAACGAAGTTATCGTATTTGAAGTGATAAGCAGCAGCAAGGTTAAAGTACGCCGAGTAGATCTACCACTCGCGTAAGAGCTGCTCGTCGGCAAGGTTTCGGATCAGACTGCGTTTCAGTTCTATAAAATCACGATTTATCTTGCGAGAATAAGGTTCCAACTTCTAACGATGAAGTACTAAAAGAAATATTTTGCTCATTTGTTTTCAACTGGCTGACGTCCGGATCTCGGATCCCGGGCCGCAGAGCCTCAGGCATTCTGACGCTTAACGACTCGACCTCACCTCAGCCGACCTGCTTAACCACTTATGGTTGAAGAATAACAATCCAGTCGCAAGTGGTGTAGCGCTTAGAATCCGAGCTTTTTCGCGCGCTTCCGACTCGGGATACACAGGGAGAATAAACGGAACAAAGGATTGCAAAGCCGACCAGGCTAAACGCGCTCATTGTCGCCAATCGAGTCAATAAAACCGAAACCAAGACAAAATAAAAAGTTTTTTGGCGCACGTTTTGCGATTTGGCGCAGAATGGCGCGAGGTATTGGCTGTGGCGCAGTTTCTGCAACATGGCGCAGAATGGCGCAGACATATGCGTCTGGCGCAAAATTGCGCAAGGGGCAGCCGTTCCACCCCTGTCTAGAAGAACCACTGGCTGTGCATTTCACCGACCATAAAGCAGTAATAATGAAGTCGAAACACAACCCGGCACTCAGCACTACCTATGAGCAATAAAAAAAATCAGCACCATCAGCACTACCTATGAGCAATAGAATCAGTATCATCAAAACCACCAGAGCTTCGCCCCAATCAACATCATTCACCACGTGGAGATGCGGTCATTTTTTTTTTATACACATTAAAAGTTAAATATCTGTGGATTGATGAATCACTTGTGATAACATTCTTAGAAGTGAAGAAAGAGCTCTGTGGAATGCAAGTTTTTTGTGACTGCAACCAGCAGTATCGGTTCTAGTGTCATGCGGTTTCACAGCAAGTACTTACGTGTTTGTCGCTCATTTTGTAAAACATTATGTTATCGCAACCCAATTGCCCAAAATTTTTCGTTATGTTTATCGCTTCACCATGAGTGAGCATTCATTTGGGATCGCTTAACCATGCACGAGTGTTTGTTCAGGGTACTTTCAATGCTGTAAACAATCTCATTTTTGCGAGAACCAGATCCTTGTCACAATGAAAATATTGCAAAATATTTTTATAGGCAAATATATCAAGCCATGGTAATGAATACACAGCACATTAATCTAAATCTTAAAATTTTGTGTCCACGAAAGATTTTTGAAAACAAAAGTTTACGAAATTCGCAAAATATTGAGCTTGTAAAAATTAAGTACTACCGTTTACAGGATTTAGGTTTCTCATTGAGGCCTATTTTTTGTAACTGGAGCAACTCTCTGACAATCATTTATTTGCCGTTTAACTTGAAAGGAAATAAGCAGTATCCCATGCAGTAACCAAAATTATGAAAACCATAATTCACAAAACTGAAATGAAACCAATTTTGTAGTTACCACAAGTCCCGTAACCATAGCCAAACCACTTATATTTCTGGTTTGAGCACCTAACGTGCACGGGCCCAGAGCCCTTTGGGGATGAAAATAACTTCCCTGTATAGACATCCAAGACCTGAACAAGAGCTTACAATTGTAGAACTTAGGCCAACACTTACCTCTAAGTCTTCCACCCTTAGTATGAGCACTTCTCCCTTGTTTTCTGATATCGTCTTCTCCCGCTGGTACTCGCTGATAATGTAGCTGAGTTTGAGTTTCTCGACGTCAACAATACCTAAAACGATTAAGACAGGTGTAAATATTGTGACTCATAAGAAAAGTAACTGAACAGAAAAGCTACACTCAATCAACAACAAAAATTATGAACTCTAACCGTAAGTTTATCATACAGTCTTCCAACATTTCAAGACCGATTTGGTCTCTTGCTGACGGGCGAGTGCCGGTAAGGACATGCGTCGCTGAATGCACACACGGATGTATGGGGCTTTCCCAACGTCACGCAGCCCTGAAACATAATTTTTAAGCAGGGTGCCCGAGGGACGATTTACATTTCCTTTTGTTTGTTGGATAAACCAAGACTCAACAAAAAGTCGCTTTCTCCAAAACTTCTCCAAGGCCAGCACGGTGCTGCTGTCAAAGTCTCGTGCGGCCCGTTTTACCTTCCACCTGTTGCTTGCTTCCACATCTTTCTTTCGGAGATTGCATTTGTGTCGCGTGAGCCTCTCTGGAAAATGTTTACTCTCCCCGACGTATGAGGTCAGACAATTCCCGCATGGAATGTGGTAGACGACACCTTGAGCCTTTTATTTGGGGGTGCCGATCCTTCGGGAGGGAGAGACAATGGCCGATCGTTGACACGGGCTTGTAAGCCACCCCAATTCTGTAGAGGCCGAGCATGCGGGAAAAGACTTTGCTAGTGCAGCTGATGTAAGGCACAGAGAAGCAATCGGATGGGGGCATGCTGCACTCTGTGAGAGGACGCTTTCACTTTTCGAGCATCTGAAGAATAAAAATTACAGGAGGACACTTAACCCTGCTTACGTGTAGGAAAGCGAAAGCATTACAGTCCCGCGGGTGAAATGTTTTCGAGTACCGTATTTTCCAGTGTAAAAGATGCACTTTTTTTCCAAAATTTTCGGCGGCGCGTCTTAAATACTAAATATTACTTAGAAACTTGCAAAAAGTGGGGGGTGCGTCTTATACAATGATGCGTCTCATACATAAGACACACTTTTATTTCACAATTTTCGGCGGTGCATCTTATACACAGGTGCATCTTATATACTAATTTTTACTTAACTTGCAAAAAGTGGGGGGTGCGTCTTATACGTAATGTGTATACGGTAATGTGTAGAACGTGTAGGACGACAACGAGGGTGACATCATAGAGATCAACACTAAGGGCCGGCTGCACCAACGTCGCTTACCTTAACCCAAAGCGGCTCTTTCCTAAGTCGGCTTAGCGTGCTAAACCGAGCTCGGATAAGCACGGGTTTAAATTCCGGTTGCACCAACGTAAACCCGGCTTTACAGACGCACCCCTAGCTAAACTCTGGATTTGCCTAGGGAATGTAGGGACAAACAGAGCGAACTAGGGAACGCTCAGAGAGACGAATACGATTGGCAGAGAGATGTAAACATGATGTAAACAAAAAAAAAATGCCGTAGTAGTAGTCGTCGGCATCTGCTTTTCGCTGCATTTCTTCGGTGAGTAACAAATGAAAGGTCTTCAAATTCAATCATTTTTTCGCTTAACTTTCAATAACAGAAGTCAAAGCTTTAAACAAACATGAATGCTCTTTACATCTGTGATTGTGTGTTTAATATCGGTTGATAACAGGATATTTTGACAGTGGCAGTAGTTTTCGTGATCACATTTTGAGGTGAAGGAGCCATCGGGGACCCCAAATCTCACCGAATGCGAGAAGGACGTTCTACTCGCTACATCGCTGAAGACAAAACAACATCGAGAATAAGTAGGCAGGTAAGATGACTACTAAAATCAAGTCACGCCTGAGACCGATGAAGTTCAAAACAGTGACGAACTCGCCACGGCAGCTGCGAAAATGCCCGGAAATAGTCGAATAGAAGTCATCGAGAGGTCAGGTCACGAGACCTTGCATCGACGGTACTCGTTGCTACCAGCAAGGTGACAGAACTGCATTGTACTGTCGTTGAACATCCGCTGCAGCCTCAAACGGACTTCAGTTTCAAACTGTCGAGTTCAGAAAAAAAAAAACTGCCACTAGTACATCACATCGTGCCGATAAGAACGGTCGTCTCTTCGCATCACCTACTCCAGCCTGCCCCGATACAGCAACGAACGAATCTAGCATAGTAGTCGTTACGATTTGTCGTCGCCACGAATGAAAGATATGAAGCCAAATATTCCTAAAAAATCGCGATCACCAAAAAGGTTACGGTTATGGAACGATACAGTTTTCTGAAGCCAAGACTCTACTCGCGAGATTAGGAAAATTCACTGAAGATTGTCTCAAAACTCAGAAAACGAAAAAAATTAAATTTTCACTGTTTTATTTCTTAAAAGCGCCACAATCTAATGCAAACGGCAAAGGTGTCGACAATCAGCTGATCGCCGAGATCATGTACCGCCACTATTCAACGCGCTGATCGGATTGAAGGATACGCGCTGCAAGTGTAAATAAACAAGGTGGCCAATAACAATCTGTTACAGTTATGCAAAAATTAGTAAGTATATACGAATAAGCTTGTTTGCAGAAGAATTAACGGGAAGACAGACGTGAGCCGCACAGCTCCGTACGTATCTCGGTTAGGGCTAACACACCCTGAGAGTGGAGAGCCAACTTGAAAACAGGGGTCGATAAACACTTCACGCAACAATATTTTGCATCCTTATGACAATCGAAGATCATTTTGTCAAGACTTTCACGCTGATGTAGCCTAAAACAATTTGCACAACCAATTTCGTCAACCGCGTCGACCGCGACAAACCAGCCGCCATGATTTTAAATCCAGGATTAAGAAACAACCAAAAGCAAAGCGCCCAATGTTGAGCACTCAAGTTAAACATAGTTTAGTGCTAGGTTTAGCGATAAGCGATTTTGGTGCAACCGAACGAAACCGAAACTAAGCTTAGGTTCCCGACTAAGCGGCGTTGGTGCAACCGGCCCTAAGTACGGCATCTAGGAGGACCTTTAGGACGACGTTGGACCTTAGGACGACTTCTAAGACGACCTCTAGGACGACCTTTAGGACGACGCCTAGAGGATGACATCGAGAACGACGCCTAGAGCACAACGTCAAGAATGACACCTTAAAAACGACATTAGGACGACCTTTAGCACGACATCAAGAACGACATCTTGGACAACTTCTAGGAAGACCTCAAGGACGAAGTCTCGGACGACGTCAAGAATGACGCCTAGAGGACAAAGTCTAGGAGGACCTCAAGGACGACGCCTAGAGGACAATGTCTAGGATGACCTCTAGGACGACTTCAAGGATGACGTTAAGGACGGCGTCGTCCTTGAGCATACGATTGAGCATCGCATGCTTAATGACGTGAGGGGGGACGCATACCTGCGTCCCCCCCCTCCCGCTGCATTGCCAGCAGTCTGGCCGGCTCCTTAGCAACGATGACACCAGTGCTATGAAGCCACATGACGCGTCACAGCCAATGGGAATTTCATGCTTGTTTAGGTCCTACAGACAACGGTGGCTTTGCTCCATGGGACAGTTAATGCTTTTGCATTGAAGCAGTTGGACGTAACCACTCTTGCAGAGATTCGACATTACAACCTGGGTTTGTTCTTGCAGACTTCTCTTCGTAGAGCACATGGCAAAGGCACGCCTGAGAAGCACAGTAACCACTGACGCCTTAAGACATTGTGAATGGTGGGAATCAAACACTAGTACCTGCCAGTGTGGGTTGGCTTCCTGTAAACAGAGAAGCTCAACCCACTGGCACTTATGGTCTCAGTTTATCCAAGAAGGGAAAGGAACCTTTGTCCTTGCGTTCGACCGTGAAGTGTACAAACGCATCCGCCTAATTCAAGCGCTTCTAAAGACGATCCACCTCACTGGTTTTGACAACACAGAAGCAGTCGCCTATCTAATGCTGGAAGGTTCTGGAGAATAAACCTGCCGAACCTCGCCAATAGCGACTGTCGATGTAAACAAAGGGGCATCTCAAATTGCACAAACGTTGCAATGGCAAAAGTTAAAACATTGATTCGGAAGCTCTGAACACAGAACGGAGTGACAGGACAAGACAGCTTTGAGCATCGGTCTTGGGTTGCCAAAGGCATGGTAGCGCTTTTTTGGACGAGGACAAAAGAAAGAAAGACAAGACAGACACGAGCGCTGAGCTCGTGTCTGTCTTGTCTTTCTTTCTTTTGTCCTCGTCCAAAAAAGCGCTACCATGCCTTTGGCAACCCAAGACCAATACCAACTAGCCCAACACACAGCTTTGATAAGCTTTGAGCATTTTTGGCATCTACAGCGCTCATGGAACTTACACAGAACACGCCAGCCGTGCTTTATACAACTGGAGCGCTATCCTGGCAGCAGCCGAAGACAGGGTAAGTGACGTGGCAATCGATGAAATAGCCCGAGCAGAGGAAGCTTTTTGCTCAAGGTCAAAACTGTGGTTGAACAGATGAAACCTCAGCATTTTTGCCCACCAGGGGACATTCACACAAACGTCATGCATAAGTGACTTAAAATTGACAAAGAATGGGTGGATCACTGAGTGGGCCTTTCACGTTTCTACTGAATGGGCCATCCAATAACCGATGCTTTCAGCAGTTGCCTATACATAGTCTTTCAAAGGAGTGGCGATAAGCGTGGATTGCTTGGCCAGCAGAATCGCTGCAGCGTCCTAAGTTTGGCCGTGATTTCGGTCTTGGGTAAGCAGCCTCCTCCGCTCGGGCTGTTCCGTTACACACCGCGTCATGAAGCCATTGGTCAGCTGCCGCTAGGAAGCGCTCCCATGAGATAAAACCCATCTGACAGCCAACCAGAAAGAAACAAAAGGTTGAAGCTGCCTGCATAGAAACTTGCACTGTAAAAAGGCTTCATCCAAGCATCAAGCCACAATCTCTATCCGATGTGACTTAAGTCTGGGTGCTGCAAGTCTGTAGTCATTGAAGCAGAATAAACTCTCCTGGCTGACTCGGTCAGTCTTGGTCACGACTCACACGCAAGCAATCTCGCTTAAGCCCGTTATTCTCTCGCTTACTCGTGCGCAGCAGTATTGCTGGTATAGCTAAGCCTCTCTGTCCTCACCGACTT